TTCTATTTAAAAACAGGATATCACTTCTTAATTTTGTTGATGTTGTTTATAGGGCCCTTAAATTTAGTTACGATCCATGTAAACTAATTGATCCTTTGAATAAACTTCTTCTAAAAGGTTATCAATTAAATACAGTAGTTACATCTTTAAATATTGTTTTTATCAGTACTAAATTTTAAATTGATTTTGTTTTTTGAAAAATAAAACACAACTAAATATATACTGCTATATACATGTATATATATATATATATATATAATATATATATATATAAGTCTAAAGATATGCACAACGGTACTAATATTGAAGATGGTAATATACGAAGATGATGTTATAAATCGTGTTGATAAATATTTCGGCTTAACAAATAGCCTTCGTCAGTGTCAATATATATGTAAGCCTCAAATCTATGTCCAGCCTCAAATCTATGTCTTTTCCGCAAATCTATGTCCCTTTTAATATTGCGTCATAGACGTTCCAAATTTATGTCCTTTATTGTCTCAAATCTATGTCTTTTATTGTCTCAAATCTATGTCCATTATTAACTCAGATCTATGGCCATTTTTGTCACAAATCTATGTCCTTTATCGAAATGTGGTGACGTAAGACATAGCAAACCGTTATCAAGTAAAAAAATATGTGTAGTTTCATTCTTGAAGGCACATTAATAAAGTAACATGTATGCTCGTTATGCCAATAGTTTGTACACAGAATTATGTTACGGTTGTTGAATGTTGATGTCATGGTACACAATGGATTTTTAAAAATACATAGATTCGAAACCGGAATAGTTTCACCAGAAAAAAAACTTTTTTAACAAGATAGTGGCACAAAATGTCGTTGTTAAACCGGCAATAAATTATACCCTAAACATTTGTATGTGGTACCTATACATTGAAACATTGAACAAATAGGTGTATGTGTTTACAGATTACGATACAGAATAGGTTCAGTTCATTGTTGAAGGCCATACATGTATCTTTAGTTGCTTGTATACAGATGTCATTTTGTCTCAGGTTGTTTATTAACTTATATTTCGTATTTGTTATCAAGACGTAATGAGTAAAGGGAAGTAACGATAATTACTACAGAACAATTAAACAAGGGATCAAGAAAAACAAACAATTTGAAAATGTTGTAGTTTTACAATAAAATGTAAATCATACAATAATTACACACGCATGTAAAATTTTTAAGCACACACATGGAGAACACATCCCAACTTAACATTAAATTATGGGAAATGACTAAAATAAAACAAAAATCCTATAAGGCCGTACTTATTAGACTGGCATAAATTTGCGCATGGCGAAACAAACTGGAAAAAGATTTAAAAAAAGAACACAGATTTGAGGCCGTATCTTTTAAACGAACATAGATTTGCGAATGACGTCACGATTGAAAACAAATTTGAAAATAGGACACAGATTTGAGGCCGTATCTTTTTTAACGGACATAGATTAGCGATTGACGTCACGATGGGGCACAGATTGGCGAAACGGACACAGATTTGAGGCCGTACACAGATCTGAGGTTTACATATATATACAGTCATGAGAACTCATGATCCTACATCCTGTAGATACTATCTACTTATAGTTTGGCATTGCACAAGGTCGTGCTTTTCTCGGATTGTTTATGACGTCTTTACACTTGTTGTTTATTACTACACATGAACTGTAAATTATACCAAAGGAAAATATATGTAGATATAAGTATATTCATGGATGGTAACTTTAATAGTACCCTCATACTATAAACAAATATCACTGAAAATCTATACCCTACAAGTCAAGAACTAGCTAGTTATCGTCATTTAATTGTTTCCATTTTATGCCAAAAGCCATGAGCACGTTGGGTATATTGTAAATCATACTTCTTTGCACTTCAAACAATATAGCCTGATCCCCTGCATGGCCAAATATCTGCTTCGTGTCCATTTGTGAGCTAGAATTATCATTATTTTTTTTCAAATGTAAAGAATCAGTATTATTGGAACTTATGAATGCTGGGAAATGGTGAGTTTTCTGTTTTCAAGCATTTCATTGGAAGGTATGCGTGGGTGGACATGTCATCGCTTTTTCGATTTAGAAAAATACTTGTCTTCTGACAAAGCAATATCTATGTGTACTTCAGAATACAGATATTAATCACAAAAGAATTGAACCAGGTGTCCACGCATCAACACAAAGGTTTATTCTCCTTTACAGTACAATATATATATCTCTCTGCTGATTTCAAGTTATATAAATACTAGGGATGTCAACGAGTACTCGAGTACTCGAGTATCGATTACCAAAATGATACTCGACTAATCGGTTTCCTGTAAGAATGTTGTTGCTTTCTTGCTTTCTTAAGCTAAAACAACAAAATTAAATTTTTTGAGAGCGCCTCCAGGGAAATTAAATATTTTTTTTAATCAAAATTAATAAAACTTAAAATTCGATTCGAATGTTTGTGTTTAAATGCCATTTAAAATTCATCCAAAGAGAGGTAGGATATATGAACAAGAGCATGTTTCCAAGGCTTACACCTATGGCTGATCTTAATTATTCCTCCACTTCTCTACCGTAAGAGTATATATTTTCTTCAGAAGGACTGTTAGTTACCTAACAAAGATGAGAAATCGCCTTGTCCCAGTTCTTCTGTTGCTACTTATTTGATATACTCTTGCCTATACGTGAGTACACTGATTGTGTTGAAAATATGAGAGTATTAACATTAATTCATTGATATTCAAAATTTGTAAACTTGCTTTGAACTACTACCATGAATACACTACAACAGATGTCCAGAACATCACACTTGAATCAGTACACTTTTCCTAAACACACGACTAGCAACTACTTTTTGTTTAATATTCCACAGCCAACTGGACACATGTATACTGCCTTACATTTGCACAAAAGCAAAATATATATTGACACGACTCTCATCAGCTACCCCGAATCTTTTGGAATACATTGCCTCCACATCCTCAACAACCTGGAAAAAATAAAATGTGCTTGCCAACTGTCATTATGTCTTTCATTCTGTTACCTCCTCTGGTTCTTATATAAGCATACTGATTGATACTTTTTAACGGGAAGCGTTGATTAAAAATCAAACAGATATTTTAATTCTCTAGTTTTAAAGGCATGCGATGAAGTGCTCCATATTGAGTCACTGAAGAGTCAGTATGTGCCTGTCCCAAGTCAGGATCCTGTAATTCAGTGGTTGTCGTTTGTTGCTGTGTTACATATTTGTTTTTCGTTCATTATTTTGTACATAAATTTGGCCGTTAGTTTTCTCGTTTGAATTGTTTTACATTGTTATTTCGGGGCCTTTTATAGCTGACTATGCAGTATGGGCTTTGCTCATTGTTGAAGGTCGTACGGTGACATATAGTTGTTAATTTCTGTGTCATTTGGTCTCTTGTGGAGAATTGTCTCATTGGCAATCATACCACATCTTCTTTTTTGTATTGTATAGATGAAACGCGCACCCGGCGTACTCAATTATAAGCCCCTTAGCATCACCAATCATGTAGTCATGCTGACAAGAAATACGATTGAAGCGATCATTTTCTGTAAATTTACTGTAACAGAACTGCTAAAATCATTCGAAACACTTAGGTTTTTCTACCCCTAGGCAAAGAAAGCCTTAATCAGATTGGGTACTACTGTTTGGAGTTTATGGTATTCAGTGCTCTTCCAATAAGCCTTAGTTGTTTTTGATTCCTGTCTAGAGAATTACATCCATAGAATCGAACGAATTCAAAGAAAGGGTGCCTTTATTTTATAAATTAAGAATCCCATGCGCTGTCACAGACATCATAAAACCTCCTGGTCAATCAAAGTTGCAAAAAAAATCAACGAAGCTAATATAAAAAAGAAGATGTTATATGATTGCCAATGAAACAACTCTCCACAAGAGACCAAATGACACAGAAAATAAAAACTATAGGTCACCGTACGGCATTCAACAATGAGCAAAGCCCATACCGCACAGTCAGCTATAAAAGGCCCGAAATGACAATGTAAAACAATTCAAACGAGAAAACAAACGGCCTTATTTATGTACAAAAATGAACGAAAAACAAATGTGTAACACATAAACAAACGACAACCACTGAATTACAGGCTCCTGACTTGGGACAGGCACATACATACAGAATGTGGCGGGGTTAAACATGTTAGCGGGATCCCAACCCTCCCCTAACCTGGGACAGTAATGTAACAGTACAACATAAGCCTGTCTTTTTCAGATCACAATTGTGGATAGACTAGCTTCGGCAAAATCTTAGTTCCTTGTACACATTAAAGCTAATAAAATAATATGATACAAGCTACTCATTTAGTGACGTTGACACTAAAAATGGCATACCTCGATTCCAAGTACACAATGACAGATGATTTCAATTTTTGCCAGCTAATCGGAAATTAAAAAAAAACACGTTGATTAATGGCAAAAGATAGTAGAAAACACAATGAATCGAAAATCTTCAGAGTCCTCTACGACATTATTGCGATTGTAAACATCCATCTCTCTTTCTGCATATCGTATTGAGTAATGAGACCTACCAAATATGGATACAGATACGGAACATCATGAAACCAAAACCAAAAGATATATATAAGTCAAATTCCGGCTTTCAGCAATAGACAAGTGATAAGCTCTTAATCTTCCCAAATCTAAATATAACTAGAGGCTCTCAAGAGCCTGTGTCGCTCACCTGACTCTACTTTGGTTTTAGAAATCATGTAAAGATAGATAAAAATCATAACAGATACCCAAATAATGATTGAGGCCAAATTTTGATTAATATTGGTCCCGTTATTTAATAAAATATCCTGGTGGCCATCTTGAACAGTAAATCGGCAACAAAGTAGCAACACTTGGTCAGCACTTCATAAGGAACATTCATGCCACGTTTGGTTTCATTCCATTCAGTGGTACTCTAAAAGAAGACATTTGTATGTATTTCCCATAGGGTCCTATGTTAAACTAAGCCCCCCCCACCCCCCCCCCCCCCCCCCCCCCCCCCCCCTAGCGGCCATCTTGGATGATGGATCGACTGCAAAGTAACAACACTTGGTCAGCAACTCATAAGGAACATGCATGCCTTGTTTGGTTCAATTCCATTCAGTGGTTCTCTAAAAGAAGACAATTGTATGTATTTCCCATAGGGTCCTATGTTAAACTAAGTCCCCCGCTGTCGGCCATCTTTGATGATGGATCGGCTACAAAGTAGCAACACTTGGTCAGCATCTCATAAGGAAGATTCATGCCATGTTTGGTTTCATTCCATTCAGTGGTTCTCTAAAAGATGACATTTGTATGTATTTCCCATAGGTCCTTTGTTAAACTAAGTCCCCTGCTGTCGGCCATCTTGGATGATGGACCGACTGCAAAGTAACAACACTTGGTCAGCATCTCATAAGGAACATTCATGCCATGTTTGGTTTCATTCCATTCAGTGGTTCGCTAAAAGAAGACATTTGTATGTATTTCCCATAGGTCCTTTGTTAAACTAAGTCCCCCGCTGTCGGCCATCTTGGATGATGGACCGACTGCAAAGTAACAACACTTGGTCAGCACCTCATAAGGAACATTATGCCATGTTTGGTTTCATTCCATTCAGTGGTTCTCTAAAAGAAGACATTTGTATGTATTTCCCATAGGTCCTATGTTAAACTAAGTCCCCCACTGGCGGCCATCTTGGATGATGGATCGGCTACAAAGTAACAACACTTGGTCAGAACCTCATAAGGGACATTCATGCCATGTTTGGTTTCATTCCATTCAGTGGTTCTCTAAAAGAAGACATTTGTATGTATTTCCCATAGGGTCCTATGTTAAACTAAGTCCCCTGCTGGCGGCCATCTTGGATGATGGACCGACTGCAAAGTAACAACACTTGGTCAGCATCTCATAAGGAACATTCATGCCATGTTTGGTTTCATTCCATTCAGTGGTTCTCTAAAAGAAGACATTTTTATGTATTTCCTATAGGGTCCTATGTTAAACTAAGTCCCCCGCTGGCGGCCATCTTGGATGATGGATCGGCTACAAAGTAACAACACTTGGTCAGAACCTCATAAGGAACATTCATGCCATGTTTGGTTTCATTCCATTCAGTGGTTCTCTAAAAGAAGACATTTGTATGTATTTCCCATAGGTCCTATGTTAAACTAAGTCCCCCACTGGCGGCCATCTTGGATGATGGATCGGCTACAAAGTAACAACACTTGGTCAGAACCTCATAAGGGACATTCATGCCATGTTTGGTTTCATTCCATTCAGTGGTTCTCTAAAAGAAGACATTTATATGTATTTCCCATAGGGTCCTATGTTAAACTAAGTCCCCTGCTGGCGGCCATCTTGGATGATGGACCGACTGCAAAGTAACAACACTTGGTCAGCATCTCATAAGGAACATTCATGCCATGTTTGGTTTAATTCCATTCAGTGGTTCTCTAAAAGAGGACATTTTTATGTATTTCCCATAGGGTCCTATGTTAAACTAAGTCCCCCGCTGGCGGCCATCTTGGATGATGGATCGGCTACAAAGTAACAACACTTGGTCAGAACCTCATAAGGAACATTCATGCCATGTTTGGTTTCATTCCATTCAGTGGTTCTATAAAAGAAGACATTTGTATGTATTTCCCATAGGGTCCTATGTTAAACTAAGTTCCCCGATGGCGGCCATCTTGGATGATGGATCGGCTACAAAGTAACAACACATGGTCAGCACCTCATAAGGAACATTCATGCCATGTTTGGTTTTATTCCATTCAGTTGTTCTCTAAAAGAAGTCATTTGTATGCATTTCCCATAGTGTCCTATGTTAAACTAAGTCCCCCGCTGGCGGCCATCTTGGATGATGGATCTGCTACAAAGTAACAACACTTGGTGAGCACCTCATAAGGAACATTCATGCCATGTTTGGTTTCATTCCATTCAGTGGTTCTCTAAAAGAAGTCATTTGTATGCATTTCCCATAGGGTCCTATGTTAAACTAAGTCCCCCGCTGGCGGCCATCTTGGATGATGGATCGGCTACAAAGTAACAACACTTGGTCAACACCTCATAAGGAACATTCATGCCATGTTTGGTTTCATTCCATTCAGTGGTTCTCTAGAAGAAGTTCAAAATGTAAAAAGTTAACGCCGACGACGGACGACGACGGACGACGCCGGACGACGGACGACGGACGCCAAGTGATGAGAAAAGCTCACTTGGCCCTTCGGGCCAGGTGAGCTAAAAAGCTGTATATGAATTTGACAGAGGCTTTGGACGATCTGAAATGTACACTCCATTCTCCAAATGAAAAAAGGACAAACACAAACTGCACATATCAAAGACAAGCGCTAACAAGATTTCTGATTAATGTGAACATTTCGGGGTTAAACTATTTTTTGAGATCTCAAGCTCACCCCTTTAATTTCAATAAGTTCCATAACAAAAGTACATATCATTAAGTTCAATGAGGATCAAAACAAGAATCTTGTGATAGAAACTTATCAGATTATATGTAGTTATACTGAAGTTATGCTCACATAAAGTTAACATGCTGATATTAAACTCTGTAATACCAGTGTCTGTAATTCGACACATATATAATACAGCAGCGTAAGGGCATACAGGAAAAACGGTTTTGAGCAACACACTGGACAAATTTGTAAGCATGAGCAAGTTATTCTTACACAAAAATACTAGGTACATAAACAATATTTCCCTTTACAGTCAATGAAACCACAATGGTGTCTATAAAAATTTCGAAGAGATTGCATCAACTTTACCATACGGAATCCTATAGTAGTGTAGGAGCCAAATTATATAACTTGTATCCATGCCGTTTGTTTGAATAAGAAAACAAAGTAATTATGGACGTTGCTAGCCACATGCTATTAAAACCAGTGACAACTACTTCCAAATAAGGGTTTGGATGTCATCAGTATTAACAAATCCGTGCAGAAAACTATACTAGACTACTTCAAAGATAAAACTATAATTGTCATTTCATAAACTTAAACCAAACCAATTGCTTCCAAGATTTTCAATTACAAGAGGGTATTAAAGACTTTTACACTTTTGGGATGTAAAAATCCAAAATTCCCGGTCCCATACAAATATAGTCCCGCTGGTTGTTTTATGACTGGAGACCTTAACATCATAAACTAACAATAACTTAGATATTTGTTATTCAAAGTCCCGAAATAACGAGTTCCCTAGCCCATCAACTGGAAGAAGAACTATAAGTTACTGATGGATTATTTGACGAATATGCCAGAAAATAAGCAAAGCGCGAAACAAAACTCGACACTTTAGTCGAATGGATCAAAGTTGTTCGGTCATGTATATATAGGCGCATTCAAAACCTACAATGCACAATAAACTTACGGGTTTATGACCCTTCCAAGAAACCCGAGGTTGGGCATTCTTTATTCTCTCTTCACGACAAATATGTTGTTGCTCCAGTAGACAAAGCCTCGAGCAATATTGTTTTTACATGCAAAAATCATTATTTGGAATGTCTCAGTAAAGAACTTGGCATTTATAGCAAAATGGGAATCCAACGTATACCCCTTCATTAATAACGAAAAAAAAAGATGCTAGAAAATCACAAATCCGTCCTTCTCTCATTCAGTATTAACATAAAAAGGGACGACGAGAATCTTCCATCTTTATACTAGATACATAATTTAACTCCTTATAAAGAACGATATATTGCCGGGTCGTCAAGATTTTGTAAACATCTTCCCACAATTCTTTCAATAGTTGAAGATGAGCTTCAGAAATATTGTGATGAGGTATACTTAACAAGCGTTCTGTAATGGAATCATGTGTAATTAAGATTTAAACGTATAATTTGATTTCAAAAGTCATACTCCAGCCAGCAGGTTACAAAAATGTTGCAACTATTGTCATAAACTCATTTGCGATTCAAACGCTTCAAATTCTTATATCACTAGTATTCTTTGACAAATATCTTGCTCCAAACAAAATTACATGTTTATTATATTAACATAATAGAAAAATAAAGGATATGGGGTATCCATTGATGACACAAAATCAGTACATGTATTGCAAAAAAACACACAGGAAGCAAAGGAAGAGCGCTTTTTATTTTATTTTTTTATTTTCTTAAAGCATATTATAAAACCTATCTTATCAATATTTTATTTTTAAATTCTACCTCATAGTTTTTTCATGAACAATCTATGCAAATTTCGGCAATTTTGCACGACTTGTAGCTTGAAAAATAGCATGGTGACCCATACTTTTTATTATATTTTTGAAACGATGGGTTCTGACCTTCTGTATCAATAAACGATCTGTTGATGATTATTGTTTTTTTATTTATTGAAATGGCAGCTAATCTGGTTGGAGCAAATGATCAATACGTAATTGGCAATAATTAATTGATTTCACTACTGTAAATTCAGAAATTATTGCGTGTATTCATTTATATTGCGATTTTTTGAGAATGGACATACATGCGAGATTAATTATTGCTATTTCAAGAAACATTGCAAACAGATATATCTATCAGATATCAAAATGCATGCGAGTTTTAATTATTGCGATGCTTACCCATTATTCTCAATGATAAAATCCTCGCAAAAATTTCTGAATTTACAGTATTACTTTTTAATACTGTACATATACAGGCCTCAGCAACAAAACTGTGATAATTATAACTCTGAAAAATTATATTGCAGGTGCTGAATACAATGGAGACACATACACTGTTCATACATTTCTAGCAAAAATGCTTTTATTATTAACACTTGCAAGTCATTTTGGAACTGGAAAACATCTACTGACCAGGGAAAAACTTTGTGACCAACAATCCTGGAATCATGTCTTACCGGATGAATACTGCATATTGCATCATTTATGTGCAAAACCACTGCAATCTCCTTATAATTCTATTCTGTTGTATGAAAATGGAAAATTTGCAGCTGAACACATAACTAGCATTCCTTATTCAACACAGAGTTTTACACATACTTTAGCCTGTACATTTGCAAATATTCTATGCGGAATACGTCCGATAGAACTCTCTTTGAAAAGATGACGTATCTTTTGCATACAACAGAAAAACAGGTACGTCATTTTCACAATCATGCACGCTCCCAATCGACATCATTTTGCTCCTAGCTTTGTCTGTGACTTACAAAAGTTTTGCTCCACGCCTACGTTGGTATCAGACATGGAGATCTTTATAAACAACAAAACAATGAAAAAAAGTGGGAAATTATAATCAAAAGCATTTGGTATGGGATTTACTAATACGCAAATGTATGACGAACCAGCTTCAATACTTTGTAAACTGCAGAATATGGACTTGTTATCCATTCGTTTGATGTGTTTGTGCTTTTGATTTTGCCATTTGATTAGGGACTTTACGTTTTGAATTTTCCTCGGAGTTCAGTATTTTTGTGATTTAACTTTTTACATGATAATGAAAATCTTAATACTTCAGATTGCCAGAGTAGATGTATCACAATATAGCAATGAAACTGTGCCCGACAGAAATAGTGGAACACCGTGGTAATTTTTTTGCAGTCATTATTATACATGTAATTATGTTTGGCTTCTCGCTTCTTCAGTTGTACCTTGTAGTAAGGAAATTGTTTGCTGAACGAAAGTCTGATTTGATGCAAATAACACAAAATTCTAAACTAAGCAACTCGGGTCAGACAAAAGAAAATGACGACAATCTATACTTTGATTCGAATTCTACTAGCAATGACGAATGTGGTAATAAGGTCAACGAAAACATTGAATCAATCGTAAATGCAGATACTCCAGAGCACGAAAATTCGAAGAAGGAGCAAGTCGGAGAACTTGTTGATTTACGTGAAGAGTCACCAGAAGAAAAGCAGTTACCTCAGACATGTCCACTACGCGCATGTTAAAGTCTGGAATATTCAGTAGATGAATTAGAACCATTTATATCTATACATGAAGACAAAGGACAGGATGCTTAATACGTTTCTTCGTTTTTATTAGTGATAAGATAGCTTAATGTCCAGAAATATATACTGTATCTGTAAAAACCATCGAAAAGAATGTATATCGTATTTTTCTTGGAATATCTATATTTGTATCTATATCATCATATTTTGATTTATCCAACGTTATATATATCCTTAATTATTAACTCCTTGCTCGGATACTTTTAGTGCTTATACCTTTTAAAATGCCAAATATATGTTGTATGTGAATCGTTAAATAAATGATAACTTTTAATGTATTTTCATCACACATGAATGATGGATATACGGTCTCTATCAAGTATCTCACTACTTGGATACACTGTTAACTTGACATAGAACCTAAGAAGATGTGCTTGTATGACAATTGTCTCATCTCCTGTTAATTTCGTCTCCTCTTTTAAATTGAGCGCTTCTGATGAGGCGTAGTTAGACGTTACGTGTTTCTGGTAACTGAATACTAGATAATATAAGCCCTGTATCTTTGAAATGTTTCTTAAAACTGAAAGAAACCATATAGACTGTAGCTTAGAGAATGAGGTTAAGATTTGATCTCGTTGATTCAAACTAAGAAGTATTTGAAAATCGACAGCTACGCTGCATATCTACCCATTATTATTTTGTTGAAAGTTTTAGTTTAAAAATTGAAGATGTGATGAATTATTATCCCAATTTCATATTGGTCAAATCATGATTTTCTTTTTTAAACACCAAGAGACAAAAAAGGGACAAACAAAATCCGAAAGCATCGGTTCGATTCGGATATATAATGTAAGCAATCTTTTCAATTAACAACTGTCTAGTCTTTATAATTTAATTTTTTTTCTATTTTATACTGGATAACTCGAAATATACTTTCGTTCTTTTTTCTGCTTTTCTGCCTTCTTGGCAAAAATAACAAAATGTCAAAATGTTAAAATTAGTTAACTGTTACGATGTTATATGAAGCTATTTAGATAAATATCACATGTGTCAAGTTTTTACCTTTAATGCTGTAATAGTAAGAAATATCCACTCCACTTCAATGAGCGCAAGGGTAAAAGCTTAACGGTTCTGTCACGGCTCAAGTTACACATATCTGGTTATAACCAAACATTGCTAGACATCTGTCATCTTACCATAACAAATATGGTCGTGCTCCCTTGCCAGAAAAGGCGCAAAAATGTTGTATACGTGTGAACCATGTGAACTGCTGATAAAGGATTTTTTTTTATGGATTTGGAAACCAATTTGAAACCACCAAGGAGAGGTTTGATTTCAACCACCCAAGTCAAGAACTTTGTCAGTGGTTTTACTTTGTTTTAACTAATGGTTTTGTCGGCATCTAGGGAATTTGTATTTAGTTTCATGAAAATAAGGATATTGATTTTATTGAAATTTGTGTAAAAATTTTGCAATTCATTTCAAATTGAGGAATATATCTCCATTATCCAAAGCTCTGTTTCCTTACCCAATTTTCGCTATACTGTAGGTCAGTTTTGGGTTGATCAGATCTTCAACGTTTGTATCACAAATATTTTGGCCTCGGGCATCACTGAAGAGACATTAATTGTCGAAATGTGAATCTGGTACAGTAAAATTGGTACCGTTGAAGTTAATACTACGACTGGGTCGATACCTCTATTGGTGGACTGTTAGTCACCGAAGCTATCACCATCCCATACTTCGGTACTGGCATGAAAATACGGATATTTTTTTGATTGAAATTTGATGTTAATAATTTCGGAATCATTTTAAAATTAAGGGATATATCTCCCTTATGCATAGCTTTTATTCCTTGCTCGGTTTTGGCTATACTTTAGGTCCTTTTTGGCTTGAAGTGCTCTTCAACGATTGTATAAGGTTTTGAATTACAAGTATTTTGGCCTTGTGCATCACCACAAAGACATTAATTGTCGAATAGGCATCGGTTGCAGTAAAAGTGGTACTGCTGGGTCGATACCCCTGTTGGTGGATTGTTAGTCCCCGATGGTATCACCAGCCAATAAGCGAGTACTTCGGTACCGGCATGAAAATACGGATATTGCTGTGATAAAAATTGCTGTTAACATTTTGGAAATAATTCTAAATAAAGCAATACATCTCCCTAATGAAGAGCTATGAATCCTTGCCCTGATTTAGTTATACTAAAGTATTTTTTTTGTTTTATCAGGTCTTCAACGTTTGCATTAGGTTTTGGATTTCAAAAGTTTGCCCTCTAGCATCACGGGAGAAACTTCTATTGTCGAATTGCGCATCTGGTGCAATAGTATTGGTACTGCTAATGTTATTATTTACTCCTATGGATTGTTAGTGAATTAATTGATTGATTGGTTGGTGTTAAACGTCACTTTCAACTCTATTGTGCTATTTCATGGCGGTCAGTTTTTATTGGTGGAGGAAGCCTGATTGCCCGGAGAGAACAACCGACCTTCGGTAGGAAAACTGACAATCCTAGTCAATTAAAATTGTTAGTGGAAGACACATAGTTAATATCACTAATGTCAAAAGGAAACATATAATTTCACCATATTTTCATATCTGAAAGTAATCAGAACGTATTTCGCGGTTAAGTTATGCAACTAATCATTGTAACATTAAGTAATGGTAGCGTTAGCAGTTATTTCTAGATTCAAAACAATTTAAAGCTTGTAAAATTGAGAACACACATGTCAGGTGTCATAGAGCTTTGACATTCTCCGTTTCCATTCTCGATTTCATTATGGGAATCTATATTATTTTGCCACTTCGATTCCTCTTGAACCCATCATAACATGTATAATGTATTTCGTCTACATAGTGGTGCTCGAATGAAAAGAGTTAGAAGGCCAAATAAAATAAAAACTTGAAGAGAGTTGAAAATTAAAAAATAAGTAAACAATGTACCAAACGATTTGGACGAGTTTTGCCTAAAGGTAGAAACACCTTAGTGTTTTCATTAAATGTTTTTTTTTCAATAAAGAAAATCCGACACTAAATTACCATATAGAGTATGAATTCCTTGTACATCATTCTCCTCTAACTTATTAATTTTTAAGAATTGTTTTTCTTCAAACTGCTATGAGAGTATCTCATTTTCTCAAGTATGACAGATAAAACACCTATCATTTTGCAGGTAGCTGTATTTTGGGAATCTGTATGTGTTGAGTGATTAACCGTTAAATTAATAATTGGTCTGATTGTGGTCAATTAGTGATGAAAAACTCCTTAGCAATGAATAAAGGATTATATTTGGTGTTAGGTGATTAATATTAAAATACAAACACATATTTTCGTTTTCAGTGATTTAAATTATTAAATGGAATTTCTGGAAAAAGGCCCTTTTTTTTATTAAAAAATGCGCTATTAATATATAAAAAGAGCCAGATGAGTCTGTTAATCTCATGTTTTAATACAATATTTAAATACTAAGAAGGCAGAATATGCAAAAATGATGACATTTAAAAAAAAAAAAAAAAAATGCCCCTCATTGACCTTTGATCTTGATTTTGCTTAAATTATACCGTACAAATATTTAACGACTGGGCAAAACAGATAATACAGATTATAATGCTTTTAAAAGGTTTATGATATAGCATGTCATAAAAATGGGTGCATAAAAATACTTTTTATGGTTAATGTAACTCCACAACATGAGAAAGCTTGCTTTTTCAAGCAGCAAGCACATCCGTTACTCTCACAAATACAAGCCCAAAAGAAACCACTAAAGACAAAGAAAGAAAATTAACGACTTTGAAATTCAGTGATTATGAAACGTGACTTAATGTTACAATTTTTATATACAGATGTATTTTATTTATAAACTCACGCAAAAGGATTTGATGTATCAGCCAACATAAAGCACAACGTCCTGTATCTTTGTTATCTATAGGGGAATAATTATGTGCAGGTGAGTGAAACACAGGATCGTGGACGTTTTTATGCAGATACAATAATTAGAAAAAAATATTGTCAATGGAACTAACTTGTGATAACAACTATTGATTAATTTTATCATATTTTATTAAAGTCTATATGATTCCTTTCCTTATTTGAAATGAACTTAGTTTTAAAAGGTAGTTCTTAAAATTTATTAGACAGTCATCTTTGAAATTGCTCTTACTTTTTTCATTTCAAATGGGATTTACAAAACACTTGACAATTCAGTGGGGAAGTCAATGCCATTGAAGAATTACATACGTCGGTGAAAAGGAAAAGGAGACATATTCGAAATATTTTGCAGTTGCGCTATTACTAAGTAAAAACCAACGAGAAGCCTGTGTTTCAGACATTAAATTAATTAACAAAATTTAAAAGTGAAGGATGTTGAATTTTCATCAGAATTATTTTTTTATACGGTTGCACAAAAATATATCCTAAAAATTTGGTCAAGACTGAGAAATGAAATATCATTTACTTCCACAATGTGCGGGGGTATTACCCACCTCTGAAAATTACTATGAAATTGCATGAAAAGGCTTCTTATTGGTTGAAATAAAAGTAAATGTGACCTCTAAACGTTTGGAAACATGATTATGAGTAGATTTCCCGTCATTCTCCGTCTTGATTTGATAACTTACGATTGAACTGGAGGTAAAAATCTCAAACTTTTGCTTACATGTTGGGGATCTTTCGTTGCAATATAGGCACACGATATAATATTTACAATTTTTGAGGTACGAAATGATTATGGAAATATTTCTCGTGTTTTAATACCGTTTTACGGCTATCGATGGAGAGCTCTACTCCGTCTTACATTGATCTTTGTTTGTTTAAATTGTTGTTTTGTTATACTGGCCTTTAAACTCATTACTAAATTTGTTGAGTATCTATGCAGGTAAAAATAAGCTGTTGTTTGAACAAAACATTTGTAGAGATTACTTTACACGTGTAGAGCCATTTTAAAGGCATTAACAGCTTGCTTTCACACAACATATCAATTATATAACAGTGTTGTGTTCTAGACTCAATTTTAGGGAGCAAATTCATAGTTGTACGCGGTTCAGTTCTATAACAATTTATATTATTGTTATGTTATTACAACGTCACCTTTCACATGAAAAGGAGATTCTGTATGAGATTTAGTGCGTATATTAATATTTGTTTGAAATATGACATGTAGTTTTATAGGCGAGTGATATTTTTCAAAAAGATGCTTAGTAAACGACTTTACTGCACCCACCTAAATAAAAGCAACAGTAGTATACCGCTGTTCAAAAGTCATAAATCGACTGAGAGAAAACATATCCGGGTTGCAAACAAAAACCGAGAGGAACACACCAACTTTGAGAGGAAAACAACGGAACAACAGAAACACTGAAGTGCAACAAAAACAAACGCCAACATACATATAAACAGACTATTTGATAACAACTGCCATATTTCTGACTTGATACAGGACATTTTAAGAAACAAATGGTGGGTTGAACTGGTTTTATGGCTAGCCAAACCTCCCGTGTATATGGCAATGTTAAGAAAATATCGATAAAAATGACAACATTACCTGACAGCAATACAGTACAAACAAACGCAAGAACACTCAGCACAGAGAAACGGATAAATAAATAATATAATAATGCATTTCAACATGTAAACCGCAGAATAACAACGGACATCTTCCTTTAACGACAGCACAGGACACCACAAACAGTGACGTATATTTGTGACGTATATATAATCTTAAAATTCATACAATTATATGAAACGAGATCCAAAATTTACAATTATTTTTACAATACTAATCCAAATTATTATCTTGATTATGAAGGTCTTGAAAGTCTATTTAAATTAATGCTGTAACGACGTCATAATTATTTAGACTAATACAATACTTTATTAATGGAAAATGGAAATTAACTCGACTAAACTGACAAATAAGACATATGTGAAATGTACCGAAAATACAGAATTCAAACCACAAACGATAAAACATAACACAATTTCCAACAAAACCCACTAGAGAAACATAACAAATACATGAATATTGGATGTTTAAATACCGAGACACGTCGTATAGTA